GCAAGCAAGCAAGCAAGCAAGCAAGCAAGCAAGCAAGCAAGCAAGCAAACAGTCAGTTAGTCCTGTGGGAAAAATTGAAAAAGTGAAAATAAATGTAAATATTATCTATACAAGTAAAATGTATACAATCACATTTTATCAGAGATTTAACTCATTTAATGAAGAACTGTGGGTGGAATTTCTTGATAGCAAAGCTGAAAATGGAATCTTTTATTCTATTTCCCACTTTTCTGTTTCATAAGCTTTAACCAGTGTTTCCTTTTGAATAGGGCTAGGGGGTGGTTGCAGCTCAGCAGTGGAGTGATTGTCTAGCAGGCCAGAGGCCCTGAGGTCCATCCCTAGCACCTAGAAAAAAACCAAAACGCTGAAACTGATCACTGATACACACACATATATAGCATTCATATACATGTATAAGGAAAAAAGCATATGAGACACTAGTTAAAATTATCCAGTCAAGGTCATCAGCAATAAGACACAATAAAAGGGTAACCAAAGTATGTAAGATGTAAGATGCCGACAGAGCAGGCAGGGCCTGATTCTCACTTGTGCTGGGCTCACACTGCCATAAGCCATCGCTGGACCTTCTGTTGTAACATGGGCTTTTAAAGGAATCTGCAATGAATATATTAAATCCGTAATGAACGTCGTAAAGACGCTTTCAAAACTGGTGTCAAAAAGTGACTTCAGAAAATTTTTATTTTAATTAGCAGTCATTTTTTGTAGAAAAGTAATAAAGTTTATTCCTACTGGGAGAAGCAAAGGCTTAGAAGTTAATGAGCATCAACTGCTATTTTAGGTGAATAGCTATGATAAGATCATTGCCTGCATGATTATTCATTACCAGATTTGTGATTTTAATTGCTAGATTTTAATGATTATAAAATTGTTCTTAATGAAACATGTCATTATTATTTAGATAATGTCACCTCCTGACAACATTAAGTACTTAGAAAAAAACTTTAAAAAAAATCAACAAAATGTGCAGGCGACAGAATGGGGGCATTGAGTTCAAGGGGCTAGACTCGTTTCCTTGTGGAATATGAAAACTCTAAGCTTTCTGCACTTGTCATTTCTGTTGCCATGACAAACTACTGTTGGCAAGGTAATTTGTAAAGTAAGTGTATTTAGCTCACAGTTCTGGACGGCTGAGAACACAGGCCTGGTCCTTGGGCTCTGCTGAGTCTCTGGCTCCACCACCACACAGTATCACAGCGGAGGGCCTACTTCCTAGCTATGCAGGGAGCCGGAGAGCTGCAGAGCAAGGCTTTCTGGCGTTTTTCTCTAATTCTATCACCTTCCCTTTCCCACGTCCCTTCTTCTCTCAGGGTTCCTAAGAACATTGTTCTAAGGATAGAACAATGCAAGGCTCTGCTACACACCAACACGGCCACAACTGGGACACATTTCCAAGACGCACACCTCAGGGAGGTAAGCACATCCAACTCAGCATTTTCTGGTCAGTTTTGAGAGGTATGACCAAATTAAGAAACTCAGGCCTTCTCTGTGGTTGAAGTTTTGCCTACCATATGCAATACTTTGTGTTAAAACAAAACAAAATTGAGAAACTAAAACAAGAAAGGTCCAAAGCCGGAGATGGCAGTACATTCCCATAATCACAGCATGCAGAGACAGGCAGGGTAGTAAGTTAAGAACAGCCTGCGCCAATAGTAAGACCTGATGTTACTACAAAACCAAAACCAGAGCAACAGCTAACACCCAGGAGAGTAATAGTAACAGCGCAAGCCAGGTGTATAATTCCCAGGCACATAAGGGGTGCTCACTGTATAGAGTGCCGTGCAAGAACCTTCTTAATGAAGTACTTTCTGATAGGCATCGTAAAGTTGTTCTCACATACACATGAACAGAAGTGATTACAAATACAAGGATATATTCCCAAGTACTCCCACTCGGCATCACAAGAACCAAGAGTTACCGCTTTCCCTCTTGTTATTTAAATGGAGCCTTTACTTACCTTAACATCAGGCCAGACTCTCAACGAAACTTGGGTATTTCACTATAAAGTTAATTTCATAATGACACTTTTCATCTGAAACAGTGACCCATTCTGTTTTTCTGTGACAGGTTCCAATTAAATCACAATGTGGTGCCATGAACTGCCTTGCAGTGAGACAGGTTTGGATTCATACCAAAACCACTTCATAAGCTATCTGACACTGGGCGAGTGATCGATGATTAAGATTCTGAATTTCAGTCTCTCCTTTTGGAAAGCAGCATGAAAAATCACTATTAAGCCAGTTCTGGTGGACTATGCTAGTACAATCTCGGCACTTGGGCGCTCTGGGCCAGTTGGACCCCACTTCAAGCTCTGAACCAGCATCAGCTGCAGGCAGAGTCTGTCGTAAAAAGGAAGAAGGAGGGAAGGGAGTGAGTCAGGGCATGGGGTGCAAAGCTTTCAACAACTGGCATCTATCACTGCCCATTTTTGGTTTTTGTTTAAGATAAGGTTCTCACTAAGTTGACCAGGCTGGCTTTGAATTAAAAATCCTCCAGAGGATTGGTTCTGTGGGTAAGGGCACTTGCCACCAAGCCTGATGATCTGAGTTCCATCCCTGGGACCTACATGGTAGAAGAAAACACTGACTCCCGAAACTTGTTCTCTGACCTCCACATGCATACCATGCATGCTTGTGCATGCGTACGTACACACACGCACACAGTAAATGCATAAATGCAAAACCTATTTTAAAAATATCGTATTATATTTTTTAAAAAGTCCTCCTGCATCAGCCTCTGGAGCAGCTGAGCCCAGGATGTGCACCCCTGTGCCCGGCTGACTTCTAGCACTGTTCCTACCCTATAGACAAAATGCAGTGCAAAGCAGCACTTATTTCGAGAGGCTGGAGGCATAGCTCCTCAGCAAAGCACTGGCCCAACACATGGCCCTGGGTTCACTTCCCATCCTCCTCCTAACCCCCAAAAGAACCCACAACACCCAAGAACAACAAAACAACACTTTGAGATCAAAGATCCATGGTCACTTATTGGGATGTCTTAGCAACGGAGATGTTTCAGAATTAGCGCCACTACCAATTTGAGACGGTTCTGTGATATGAAACATACCACACATGCTATACATACCCAGCCACCAGCTCATCCTCCCACACATCTGAGTTTTAGGTGCTGCCAGTTCAGTTCAGATTAGACTGCCAGGTAAGTAAGGTCAGATTATACTTTGCTATAAAGTGAGTTAAACCCTCTGAGTTTTAATGTTATTAAAAGAAAAATAGTATTACTCTCGAGATTTTAAAGAACACATCTACAGGCTCAGCTTGCAGCACAGTTGGTAGAGAGCATGCCTACCTTGCATGAAGTCCTGGGTTCAGGCTCCAGCACTGTATAAACTGAGCATGCTTGCACATGCCTGTAACCCCAGCACACAGGAGACAGAGGCAGGAAAATCACAAGTTCAAGGCCATCACTAACTACGAAGGTAGCTAGATGATAGATAGATAGATAGATAGATAGATAGATAGATAGATAGATAGATAGAAAGATAGATAGATGGATGATAGACAGACAGAAATGATAATAACAATTGTACTAAACACTGTAAAGTACTGAAGTCAATGCTGAGGTAGTGCTGCTACTGTTTTGATCTTACAAGGGGTAAAATACCTTGTGGAGAAGATTACCAGGAATCTGCTCAAGCCTTGTGACTAACTTCTTGCTTATAATAAATACAGAGGACAGAAAACAAGCTAAGCAGTGATTTAAGGGTAGGACCAGTGCAGGCTGTGAGGCTTTTCCCAAGACCACTGACCTTTAAAAAACAACCGTTATCACAGGAAAAACAGAATGAAACACTGTTTTAGATTAAAAGTGCCACTATGACATTAACTTCATAGTGAAAGGGTCATCACTGTAAATAAAGGTTACATTTAAATTACAAAATCAAAACCTGGAAAAAAAAATCCTGTCAGTAAAAATTTAGATTAGAATTCAAATTTTATTTTGGAAGACTGGGTTATAGTTAACGTCCATTTCTAACACTGTACAACAGGAACAGAAACTATTTGGCTATCTCCAAATTTTGCATAGTGGACATTCAAGTTAGTTAGGAGTGAAGAATCTTTCCATTTATTTTTGAGGCAGGGCTTCACTACATAGCCCTGGCTGGCTTGCAAGCGGCTCTGCAGATCGGGTTAGCCTTGAACTTGGAGCAATCCTGTGGTCACCTGAGTGCTGAGGTTACTGGTATAAGCTGCATCCCAGGCTATTTTACATTTTAAACATAGAAGGGATATATACTTTTGGCTTTGTATTATGTTTATTTTTGTGCATGTGTGTTTGTGCTTGCACATATGTGACAGCACACCTGGTGGTGAGAGGACAACCTGCAGGGGTCACTCTCTTCTTCCATCCTGTGGGTCCCAGGGATCAAATTCAGATCATCAAGCTTGGTGGTGAGTGCCATGACTTGCTAAGCCATCTTGTTTGCCCAACTGTCTCTTTTTTTTAAAGAGTTTGCTGGCAACTTACCAGATACAGTGTTTTATTATTTTACAATATACTTACATGCATGTATTATAGCAACTCTCTATATAATTATATAGTACATAGATAATATATATAAATGTATAATTTTTTAATGTTTATTTTTTCATTTTATTTATTTATTTATTTGTTTGTTTGTTTGTTTGTTTATTTATTATGTATACAATGTTGTCTGCATGTACACCTGCACACCAGAAGAGGACACCAGATCTCATTATAGATGGTCATAAGCCATCATGTGGTTTCTGAGAATTGAACTCAGGACCTTTGGAAGAGCAGCCAGTGCTCTTAACCTTTAAGCCATCTCTCCAGTTCCAATTTTATTCTTATACTACTAAAATCTGGAGACGTTTTTAAGTGAATATCTGAGTGACCAAACAATGTTCACACTGACACCCAGTGAGAAGAGCAGAAGGCTTCTTGTCATTATTCCACAACTATCTCCATTGAGGGCTCAACTCCTATGTCTCTCTGCTTTGGAACTTAAAATTCAATCTAAATGCTAAAGCAATTAAAGAAGAGAAGACCTACTAAGGCATTTGGTCCACATCTCTTATGAATACTTGGCTACAACTTCTATCTTCTTCTTCTTTTTAATTATTAAAAGCACACTAAAGAACTCTGGGATTTCCATAGAGACCCATGTAATAAATTTTTAGTTGACATGCATTATTAGCTGCTCATATTAAATAATGAAGAGAAAAAAGACAACAGCACATTACAACCTAGCCTAAATAAAGCAATTAATGTCACCGGGGACAAAGATACTCCTGAAAATAGTATTTAGCTAATCAGAGTGGGAAAAAGCTAAATCCTGAAAGCAAATAAGTGAATCTTTTTAAAGGTATCATATTTATATATGGATTATTAATTAATGATTAAAAGGAGGAAGATACATAAAACAGGCCTTATACAAATTATTACCAAATAGTTCAAATTACATGAGTTTTACAATAGAAAAAAGCCACAGTAAAAAAATTCAGACATATCATGAGAGGATAGAGTAAGTGAGCAATGAAGTGATGCTATAGGTTTCTGTAATTACGCATTAAGAAAAGAGTATAAAGAAATGTAGCGAGATGAAAAGAATTCAATGCATGAGATTGCTGGCTCTCTCCAAGCGGACATTCAAGTTAGTATTTCGTATGCTGGATCTAGTCTAGCAATACTGAGCACTGGTTTGTTTCTGAGCACACCATTCTCCAGCTAACCTTCAGCTCACCAGCTGGCAGTCATCTGGTGAGCAAAATGCTAATGACAGTCACTTGGTGGACACTAATTAATTGCCCTGCTTTATTCTGGTTTCCCTCTGGATGCCTAATTGGATGTATGATACATTTTTTGGTCAACTTACTCCTTAAAAATTTGGCTTCACTACGTAGGGATTTTATTCTTGGGTTATCTTTTCTTCTAAGTTTAGGAAGCAAGCAGACATTGCTACCAGCAAAAGTCACATGACAGTTAAGACTTACCATTTGCTTAAGATCAGATAGTTCTAAACCCAAATATTGGTGGAAATTACCTGGATTAATTAAATGAACACAGTGTTCATTTAATGGTCATTCCCATTGTGTGGTTTCCATCATGGAAGAGTCAATTCAATATGGCCTCATCTTTTGTAAGTTTTACATGTTAAAATTAAAAAAAAAAAAAAAAAAGAATCCACAATAAAAATTACATTTTCATCTCCTTTGGTTAAAACAAACAAACAAACAAACAAACAAAAAAAATCAAAGGATATGATGAAAACTTCTTGGGACCACCACACACGGGTCCCAAGTGCATGCATCTGTTACACTCAAATGATGTGTAAGCACTTCATAGGTCAATATTCTATTAACAAAGACTGCAACCATGATGAGTCAACGCAGGCTTCAGTACTTGAGGACAATGATGTTTGCATTTAAATTTACTTTATGCGAACATGAAATGGACTGTACAGCACAGTAACATATTAATGAAGGACTCTAGATGACAGGCATCCTTGTTTACCATGAACTTCTTATAAATCTGCTCTATGTTTAAAGTTGGTCATAGCAAAATTGGAAAACATCTTAAATGTTTTAATGTTAACGCAAAATGTCTTAAGATATATCACTTGTGACAGTGGAAGTTTTATGCTACAATAATTTAAAAGAATTAAAGCATATATTAATTAAACTTGCAAGATGACACAGTAGTTAAGAGCATATACAGAGGACCTGACCCAGCCCCCCTCATTGGGTAGCTCACAACTACCTTTAATTCCAGCCCCAGGGAATCAGACGCCTCTGGCCTCCATGGACACCTACACCCATGTGTAGATACCCCCATGCACACATATACACATAATTAAAAATAAACTAGAATATTACGCATATATGCACAGATATGTATACACACACATATGTATATATATTCCCTGCCCATCATCCTTCTCTGCCAAATGGGACTTAAGGCCTATGGGTCACAGGAGGTCCTTAGGATAGACACCTTGTGAACAGTTTGCTAACCTAAGGACTGTGGATGGAGTGGTTGGCAGAGGCAAAGCTCACTTCCTGTGTTCTGAACATAACCGTAAGCAACACTTAATCCAGACCTACTGTGCCTGTGCTGTGAGAAGCAGCTACTGAAGACACCTGAATCATATCTACCACATCTCCTCTGAATCCTGACCCAGAGACCAGTGGGAGAAGCCCATACCAAGACAGTCACCGACCTTCTGTATCCCCACAGACTGGAGGATGTTCAGCTTTCTTTTCCTCTGGAAAGTATCCAAGTCCCAGAGCTGAGCTGTGTCAGAGGAAGTCGTGATGGCGTATCTCCCGGATGCGTGCACAGAGATGGAACACACTGACGATTCATGTCCTCTCATGCAGCTAACCAGCTCCTTAGTGACTGGAGTGAAATTCTCACGTCAGTACAGCACCCTCACTGACACACAGACCACTCTGAACACTATGCACGGTCTGATTCAGCTGATGGACATAAAGGGGTTAAAATGGCACCTCCTTTAACATCAGCAAAGGTGGGAGCCTGTGGCTAACATTTACCGTGGGGTGCCAGTAACATGCAGTCACGGATGTTTCAGGTGAGGCTACAGAGGGCTTAAGAATAGCCTCAGTGGGACACTAGAGCTTGGGTATTCATACGGTAACAGTTTTATGTTGCAGAATGGTATGTCTGGGCCTCTGTTTGAGGCTATGGTCTATACACTGGAAGAGGGGAAGAGATTGGACGGGGCTAATTTACGTTGTTGTAAGAATCAGACAAGAAATGGGGCTTAAAAATGAGAAAAAGGCAACAGAGAAAAGGAACAAATTCAAAAACCATCAATAATGGAGACACACATCTACACACTGACCTACTGCACTCCAAGGGTCCTAATTCAGCTATACAAGCAGCTGGTGATGCTGTCAAGTCATATGACAAAGACAACAGATTTGGCATGGTGGAAAACGGGATAAAAGATTTAAAGAACTGATATTGCCAGGCATAGTGACACACACCTGTCGCCTGTGAGCACTTAGGAGGCTAAGGCAGGGAGATCACCATAGGCCGGAAGTCTGCCTGGGCAACATAGTGAATATGAAGCCAGTTCTGCCCACACAGAGAGATCCTATTTCAAAAAAATGAATTAAATAAAGCCACACAGATAATAAGAATTAAAACTGAATTTGGGCCTGGTGTGGTGGTATAGTCTGCAACCTCAGCACATGGCAGGCTAAAGCAGAAGGGTTCTGCATCTGAAGCCTGGGCTACACAGTGAAGTCTAGGCAAATGGCTACATAGCAAAACTCTGTCTCAAACAATCAATCAATCAACGAGTCAATGGAAGTTTTGACTTTGAGGTAGTCCTATATCTGCATGTGTACAGGAGAAAACAGGATGGTGGAGAATATACCAAAACTATTCATGATAAATACTACTGAGTGACTAAAGGTTTTATTTTATCCTCACACTTTTGTGAATATTTCTAAGTTGTCTATATCACATCAGTTTTGTGATCTAAATTCCTCCAGAAAAACGGAAGTGAGGAGAGAAAGCAAGCAAGATATAAATCTTAAAACCACTAAGATACGAAGGAGGTCAGAACTGAAGACAAAACAATGAGTTCCTTAGGGAGACAGCAGCTTCCAAACACTTGCCTAATGTCTGCGATTGTTACTCATTCCTTCCTGTTGGTCTGCATGAAAGGAAAAGAGGGAGGATAACATTGTGAGCTTTTCATAAAGCTACAGTTAAATCACTACTTTTCAGTTCAGTATTTTGTCCCTCTCAGCTTATGGAGGGGAAAAAAAAATCCCCCCTTTTAAATGAAGTGCAATTTGGTTTTTTTGTTTGTTTGTTTGTTTGTTTTGTTTTGCTTTTTTTTTCCTGATGTTGAATAAAAAACTAAAAGCTGGCAACTACGCTTTTGTCTAGGGGTGGTGCCCTGAGATTGCTTCCTTTCAGGACAGCATGTCAAGTGATGCTGCCATTGCTCAGGTCTTGCTCAGGCAGCCATACTGCTGAGGTATCCTGGATATAGTAGCTTCCTTGGTATTTCTAGGAGACTCAGTCTCACATCAGACTTCCTGGCCAATCCCAGGTTTTAAGTGCTCCTGGAAGTGGGATGGCAGGTAATCCAGGGGCTGTTAGAACCTTGGATACAATCTTTCTATGGTGGGGATAGAAGGCACAAGAATCCTTGTTTACTAATGGATGCTGTGAGGAAGCAGGATTTGGCCACAAAGAAAAAAGGTGACTTGGAAGTTAGAAACTAGAGATAACATCTAAGGACCTTAATGGGATGTCAGGTTCCATGAGAGAGTAGGCTATAAAAAATATGGAGTTAAGAGAAGAAAATGGTGGCATCCAAGGAAGCTAGTTGTAAGAATGGACAAAGACTTAAAATTTTTTAAAGAATTTTTGTTCCGGCAGTGCTGACTGGATTTCTAGGCACTACTTAGATAACTATTTCTGCCCTCTGTGTGTGGAGTGTAGCAGAGTCCAAGCTCAAACTGCCTGCTTTGCTTTATATAAATCTGGAACCCTGATCAAGAAATTTCACTGTCTCAGTTTCCTCATCTGCAAAATGGTGATCATAACAACATCCATCACAGTGGAAATAAATTAGTTATATAGAGTCAGAAAATAGCCCTTGTAAAAGAATAAATACAATAAAATTATTTATTGTCACTATTATTAATATTTACATCTTTCTAATTATTATATACCATCATTTAGTAATAAAAAATACAATTAAATTTTTTCTTTTCACTTGTGATTCGCTTAATCTATAAATCTCCAGAATGCCAACTTAAAATATTTATATAATTTGCCAGTTGTAATTCTGCCATATTTCCATGAAATGTGTGGGATTTGTTTGTTTGTGTTATTTTAGAATACCAGTATAGTAAGGAATTTGGCTTCGAAAGAGAGAAGTCTCATATTTGTCCACACTCAGGAGGTAATCGTTAACTCCTGGAGCTTCCCACATGATAGGAATATTCTAATTATTCAGTCAACCTTAACCACAAATAAATGGCTTCTGTTAAGGACTCAGAGCTGGGGCTGGTCTCACCAGAAGGACCAGCAACATTAATAGACTGAGCATCAGGAAGGCAGGAGAACTAGAAATGGGATTCAGCCACATAGACAATCCTTCAACCCTGGTGATAATAGGATGAGAGATGTTACAATCAGATCGCCCTCACATCTACACACAGGCACTCAATTAAAACTCCTGACACCAAAGCTTGAGTGAGCCTCCTGCCTCAGCAACATCCAGCAGAGTCCTGGCATGTAGATGCTGGGAGGGTAACTCACCACTGAAGACAATGGAAGCATCCTTTTAGAAGCCTCCTAGATGTTTCCCTAAGCATCTCTCCCATTGGCTGGCTCTAATGTACATCCTGTATTGATGCTGTAGTCAGTCACATGGACAAACGATTGCTGCTGAGGCTACACAGACTAGTAAGGGCCTTGCAGCCTGTGGGGCTACAGTTTGCTCTGCTTCAGAAGACAACCAGGAGGACTTCTTACCTGTATCAAAACATTTAATAGAATAATCAGCTAATGCCACAAGGAACTCAGACTTCCTACGAAGATTAAAGGCCAGAGCTGTGCACGCTTGGGCTGTTCGCTGAACAAGATTAAACCTATTAAGAAATAGTTGCGTTAGTACCAGAAATTCTACCAGTGACCAAAAACTTTACAGTGGTGGAGACCCTAGAGGGGAAAATGAGACCTAGAAAATGGTGGGCCAAAAATAGACATGAAGGTCTAGGAGACTGATTGTAAATAATGAGGGTATTTCTGCCATGTGCAAAATGCCAGGGGTTGAGATTTACATCTCAGGAACCATGCTAGGGAAAGTGGATCCCATTTCCACAATTGGGAAGTCATTGTTAAGTTTTAAATTTTTTGTTATTTCTTGTTAGTAAGTTGTTAATTGGGAAGGCATTGTAAAGTTTCTGTTAATTTATCATAGCAGACTTACAACTGGCAAATGTCTTTTAGGAAGATGCTTCTGGAAGCAAAGGCAATTGACAGATGGAGGGATAGAGAAGAAAAGACTAGTGCTGTAAGAGCAACTAGAGAAGACCTCAGGCCTCAAGGATACAAGTACACAGTAGAAAGGACACCCAGGACAGGCTGCTGAGCTGAGAGAGCCCGGCAGCTAGTAAGCATGGGGGAAGAGAAGGAATAGGAGCTTCTCACGTGTAGAAGGAAGAGAAGAACTGGAAGCCTACAAGGGTGGAGCAGACCAGGGGGACTGGGAAGGGAATGTGACCAGGGTACATTACATGAAATTTCCACATAATCAACAAAATATGTTAAAAAAGATTGAAAGCCTAAGAGTTTATTGTGATTAAATTAAAAAATACGTAGTGAGTTCTTAAAAGAGCTTGGCACACAACTAGAATTTCATTTACAAAACATTAAACTTCTGAGGTTAGGGAAAGGGCACAAGCTTGAAGGTAGGGAATCTTAAATCTTATCTTAAAGATGTTGAGTTTAAGGTTCCTATATATCATTCAGAGCTATGGGGTCCAAAAAACTATTACACAGGCCATATGTATAATTTAAAATTTTCTAGGAGCTAGATTATGAAAAAGATATGATTAATTTTAATATCCAAAACTTTATCTCAATGTTTAAACAAATGTTCCATTTTTCTTTCACACTAACTCTTTAAACTCCAGTGTGTACTTTAGCATTACACTTACAATGTATCTAGTTACCTTTCGAAGGCTCAAGAGTTGTGTACAGCTAGTGGCTATCAGAGTAATTCTAGAAATAAAATCTTAAGTCAATAGCACAGACACGACACCTGCTCATGTAAACACCCCAGGCTCCGCTGGTGATGAGATTACTAAAAAGAGACTTGAAATAAACAATAAATAAGTAAGAGCACAGAAGGACGTAATCCCAGGGCAGGTACCCAAGCAACACCAAGTACAGGGATAAGCATTGGAAGCCAGGAAAACAAGGGACAAAATGGTCAGAGAAGTGGAACAAACAGCAGGGTGTAACTCGAAGCTGAAAAGAAAAGGGGAGATGTAAGCATTCAATCTTTCAATACGAATGAAATTGAAGAGACCACTGTGTTGGATAAGAAAGACTGAAGCGCAGTAGAGTGGGCTTAACAACCATGCCTGGTTTCATGGCCCCGCTGCTTACTGCTTAGTTCAGCTGTAAATGTTCATCCTAAAACACACCACTTAGGTCTAAGGATTATTTTGAACTGAAAACAATTAAGAGGCTGAAACAAGCAAAGTTCTTTGCCTTTTCCGGTATTGATCTGTCTGGTCTACATAAATCTGAACTAAGTTATATGATGTCCTTCCTCCCCTGTAGGTCACAAAGGACAAAAGTTAATTAAAAGGATAATTGTAGGTCCTTTTCATCTTGGGGATGGTACTGAAAGGGTTAGGCTAACTTTGTAACCTATTTGTCTTTTAAAGCCTATAGTTTTGAGTTTTAGGTCCAGGTTAAGCTAAAGCCTCTTAGTACCTTTCCAGAGAATGGAGGAATGTGACCCTACCTGTGAGGACATATATAAAAAAAGGCAAGCAAGCAATGACCTTCACTCAGCAAAAGAAGGACCAGACCCTTGTCTTTGAGATAGCGTTTCTTAGCAACAGACCTAGACTTCTTCTGAGTAGCTTTTGACCTCCAGCCAAAAGTCTGTAGCCCCTAATCTTCAAGGATGAGCTAACCACCCCCACCTTCAATTGCAGCTGCATCCACACTTGGCAGGACTGGCCAAGCGTGGATGC